ATCTTGTTATTGGTGGTTTTATTTGCTTTTGTGCATCATAAAGACGCCTCACTGTTTATTTCAGTCCACTTCACAGTCTATTAAAAAGTCTTCACAATGCTCAAAGTGAACATGTTTCACACAGCTGTCAAATTGTTGGTGTTTAAGGCCTGATAAGTGGAGGAGAAAATGTCACACACTGACAGTGATGGGGCTGACTGATAACTGCATAAACACTTGATTATGACTGGTTAATACTCAAACAATGGTCAGTTATTTCTCAACTTCACACTGTTATTACAGCCATGGCCTTAATCACAGATTTGGTGGATTAGCAGTAATCTTAATAAGAGGTCAAGTTATTTGAATGCTTATTTGTTTTGAAAACAAAAACAGAAACAGGAACAGCGAAGAAAGAGCTGAGGAGAAAGGACACAGTCTGGAGGCTTTGACAATAGTGTGGGATACAGCAGACTAACAAATGAAAAACATGGTCACAGACTGACAGTGACCCAGCAGAAGAACTCAATCAGGTGCTGCTCTGATTCCTGTTGTCTTGTTTACCTTGTTTTACTTCACCATCAGTGGATATGCTCAGTTCAACATGAGGAGCAACCATAAAAACTGGTTCACTCTAAGGGAGCTCTTCAGTTAGCTGTTACTATGGATGCAGATCAGCATATAGGCACTAGTTAAACAATCTTAAACACACTGTCTAAAGTGAGGCCAAAGTGAATTGGGGCGTGTTCACCTGCTTTTAGATCTATACTTAGTGAGGCACAGAGTGCAAAGGGAATGGATTAAGACCCTTGCCCATTCAAAAGTGTTTTTTAGACTGACTGTCTCCACACACCGAGCGCAAGTAAAATCATTCTCAAATGAATTACATGTTAAGTCAATGCAAAGATGCGATTAGACACACATACTACTCTGGTGGCACGAATGACACGAATTGGACGGAGCTGGAAATGTCTCATCTTAAGCAGATATTTGCGTCACAAATTCCAGTCAGCACGAAGGTTGCCGGGTTAGGTATGAAAACAGACGGTTGTTTACTGGTATCTAAAATGGAGGACAAACTGATCGAGTCGTTGTGTGGGTGCCCCAAATTCTATGATACATTTTCTTTCAATTACCGAAACCAGAAAAAAAAGGAGCTTACCGGGAGGCAAGTGAGTGAGAAGGTCGAATGACCTGGTAAATTGTAAAAAAAATTGTCTATCACTTGATCCCGCTGGTTGAATTGGCAGGGATTACCGTTGAAATTAGCATAAACGGCTGTAAATGGTCGAATGAAGTGAGTAAATACTATACATTCACATGTCTAGATTTGCATGAATTAAGCAAGGAAATGATTTTACTCGTGCTTGGTGTGAGAGCCCCATTAGAATAGTGCATCTGCTTTAACTGCCTTCCTGGTGCACCTGCAGGCAGGTGTATTATATTTTACACAGCAGGTTTTAGCCTCTCTAGTCAATTATACTGTGCTTGAGCCAGCGTATTAAATTTCTCTCCCCTAAAGATGCAGAAAACACGCTCAGATCACTGTGAGAATTACGTAAATGGATATTGATGTTAACTCACTGAAGCGAACCCGCTGAACAGCAGAAACAAAAGTGACTCTCCAAACTGACAGAGATGTGTGTACATTTACTCACATGGTGCAGCAGCATCAGTCAGAACAACAATAGTATCACCCTTCCTGATAAATGCTTTAAGAGACTGTGACTATGATACAATATTAGGACAGCTGTATTTGAACATTTGTCTCCTCACTGAGCTGACAATGATCAAGACAAACCAAAAGCTCATAAGGATGTTGTTTAGTTTAGCTATAGAGCATTTCAAGGCACTCAAAATGTAGCGTGCCTAAAGGGAAACACATGGTTAGAATGCAGATACATCTCCAGGTTATTTCCTCTTGTTCCCACACCTGAATGCAGGAGCTCAAAAGCTCATCTTAAAGTGATAATTGTGTGCTGGTGCAAAACTTGGTCAGGTCAAGCATACTATATATATATATCCTTTTTTTATGACAAGGGATTCCCGGTTTCAGTGTTTCTCACAGCTTGCTAGCTCCAGTGATAACATTGAGACATGAATTTTCAGCCAATATTTCCACCTGAATTAACACAGGTTATGTTTATGATTGCCCTTGGGCTTCATACAAACAGATATTGACGGACTGGGTTTGAGAGAAATGTTAGAAGTGAGGCTTATTCACCTCTTTTGTTATGTATGCACATCACGATCTGACCTTCCAGACATATAGCAAGATTGAACATGTTCATGAGAGAAAACAACAAGCCTGGGGAATGTTGATTTGCTTTACATTTCAAAATAAAGGCGATGATGTGTCAACTGTGTGGCATTCATATCCATGAAGGTATTCAGTTATAATGAAGCCTTCTCAATCTCCCTCTCATAGTGGCAAACAGCTGAATTAATTGACAAGCATTTAAATTAACTAAAGAAAATGGATGGGAGTTATAATTAACTGATGCCATTCATATCTAAGCTTGCACAATATGCTTTCCATCACAGTGATACTCTTGTCTCATGCATGCTTGTTGGTATCCTGATGGTGGCAGAAGCATCATTTACCCACTTATCCCTCTTTGTCAAAATGAACAAAAAAATATACAGCACTCTAAAACCTAATGGCCTAGGAGGCAGAGGCAGGAAAATGAAAAAGGTTCATTTAAGCTGGGGCTTTTTTCATTGGTGCAGCTGTCCACTGCTGATGCTGTCTCTCTCTGATATCTGTTTGTTTCATCCACTTCAGCCCTGCTAAACGGCTCATTTTCATCCGCCCAGATCTTCGGCTCACTGCCTAAACAGTTTGGCCTTTTGTGGTTTGTATATTCTATTCAATGCTTCTGAATTCTTCTGTAATAACCGAATAAACATCTGATAATTGAAGAAAACTATCCATGCTGCTTAAATAAGGCTTAATCACAAACTTAATGAAGTATAATCATTGCCTATGATCCCCCTGCTATGCATTGACAAGATAACTAGCATTTACACAGCCTCAATTGTTCTCCCTCCAGGAAAGCCATGATCTGCTGTTCCACTCAGAGGATCAATCATGTTGTTTGAGTGTAATACAAACTGAGGATGGATTATTGGATCTTTGACTAAAGGGTCCGGCACCACAGCTTGATGGTAAAACTGTTGCTCAGGGACAAACACCTTTCTCAATAAAAGCACCATTAACATATCAGATCCCAATAGTTTAACAGCAAAGTGGAGGTTTTAATCATGTTTTACCTCTTTAAACTCTGTCACAGAAAATCAAGCCGGAATGGTTGTAGGTTTAGGCAGTAAACAGTGGAAGTGAAATGGGTATTGACTCAATCAGAAAATGGAATTTAACCATAAGCTGTCGTTAATGGGGTTAATGGAATCAAAACCGTAAATGTCTTTTTGTGGACTGGTGACAGCAGGAAACAATAGGTGTTTCACGTTTAACAAATGTTGTTTTGTTTCAGCTACAGTTGAGCTGAGAGGAGGAAAGAGGGAACTACAGAGATGTCATCCCATGCGTGATCATATGAGCCCTTCTCATTGCAAGAAAATTGAGACACTACTGCTAAGAAACAGAGATAATTTTACTCCAGTGGATTTTAAACCTGAATAATAGGAGCATTTTGGTTTCCCCATGTTAAGAAATGAGAAAAGGGCAAAGTTCAGAGGCCAGAGCGCAGTGAACAAAATCCACAACAGAAAACAATTTCATGCTAAAATTAGCTATGTGGTAAAATTGCAGGTACTTTTAAGACTGTTTTTTTTAAATGGTTGCACATCAAAAATCATTTATACCTTCTAACCTTTTCATCCAACTTATTTTCATTCAGTTCCGCCACTGTTGATCTACCAGAAGGAATATACTTGAAAATAAAAGCAAGGTTTTATTACTGGTCACAGAGCTAGAGATATAGATATTATACTATATTACACTTTTATACTTTTATTGAATTTCGCTTTGGGGATAAATTAAGGTCTTCTTATTCTTATACAATGAGGCAAACACTTCAGTTACACAGCGTCACAGGCGAGCAGAGTGCCTTTCAGAAGGTACTTTCAGCTTTATATATGTAAATTTAAAGCATTGTTATTTCATGTCATTTTGGTGTTATAGTCGTGCTGTTTTCTGGGGACCCAAGTAATAAGGGTCTTTCATGTCTGGTCTAAACAGAGATGGCTTTAAATTGAACCTGCCTACTCTATTCCACTGACCTATTTAGCCTTGCAGCATTTGCATGGTTCCTATGACTGCACTTATAACCTGTAATAACCTGTAATTTCATATGAAGCCAGTGCTTGCTTAGGTCTATTCTTATTCCTATGCATATCACTTACCTAGTGAAAGCACATGCAGACTTAAAAGTCTTGTGTTTTTGGGTTTAAATGGTTTCTGGTCTGAAAACAAAGTGCGCGTGGTATTAAACATTACAGCTGGCGTGCACACAGCGGATGAAACGTTACTGTGGTTGCCAATTAGTGTCCCTGTGTTCCAAGGACATTATCTCCCGGCACATCCGGTTCTTTAGCCCCACAACATTGTTTGGGTAATTACTGTAATTTATAGTCTAAAGTGAGCGTGTCATTTAAGCACACTGGAGGTGGTTTGATGACTCAGACATTTAGAGTGACATTACCTATGAGTTTGTGTGTCGGGGGCTTGGGATAGCTTCAGTGAGATGATTTCGTGTCAAAGTAAGCTAACACAACCAATTGCTTCAAACGTAGATAACTTCAGTGAGATGATTATGTGTCAAAGCATGCTAGCACCGCTGATTGCTTCAAATCGTAGCCATCGACCCCTCTGATTGATGTCCTTTGAGTGGTCATAGCTCATGAAGATGCTATGTTTGGTGATTCATGGCGCCATTTGATGAAGCAGTCTCTTTCAAAGCTGCAGGAAGTAAATCAGGGGAGGTAAAAACGCGTGGAGGATGAGGGGAAAATGATCCTGTGAAAGAGTAAATTGAAGAAATAATGCAAACAACAAGTTGTTGCAATAACTGTGTCTGTTTATTATAGACAATACAAAGTACAAAACAACCCATCAACAGCAAAAGCAGAAAAAAGCTACCTTGAGGAGAATTGTGCATAAAGCATCACCTCAAATGGTACCAGACTTGATCAACTTTGTGTTCACATCACGAAAGCTTGTATACGTGTCACAGACCGCTCACTGTGCAGAAAAGAAAACAACTCTACCACATTTGTTTGATGAAACTGAGAACAAAGAGAGAAATTAATAAAAGTGCGTGACAGAGAGGTACTTTGTGCGACAAGCTACAGACTTCAAACCTTTATATATCATCTAAACGTTTCACTTTGGAGCTTGTTAGCCTCCGCTGCCTGCTTTCAAATAACAAATAAACACTCTGATCGATCAGTGGATGAAACAAGCTATTACTTCAAATATGCAGTCTCTTGTACATGTGAAAACACAACACTGAAAGACTTTCACATTGCACGGCACAATCAATTTCAAGCAACTTTACAGTAAAGACAGAAAACCTGCTGCTCAGTATTTAACAAGTCCCTTTCATATGGTTCACTCTGAATTCATTTCACAAGAGTGCTTATCAATTTTTACATATCCACAGCTCAAACTGAAGCAAATCCATACTTTAATGGCAGAGTGAGCTATACATATGACATACTGTGAATTGCACTGACTCCAGAACGGCACTTTGTCGCTATTTACAAATTCCATCATTGCTCTGTAGATTTTGCTGTCTAGATAAATCATGAAAAAGCGCTGCTCTGTGCAGTCTCAGGCAATATCAGTGAATTACTGCCATGACGGTTATCTGACCCTTTGACAAACAGCCTCTCTCTCTGCACATCAGGGTTACACATTTCTTCTTCTTCATTATACAGCAGCCACTGACCTTCACAAGCCTCAAACAGAGTCCACTGTAGTCACCGTAACCACCACCGAAGCAACACGAAGCTTCGGTTAGTCTTACACTGTACTGAATTCCCAACAGAAATCATTAGAGGTGAGGAGATTGTAAATTGGCACAGCACGTTTCAGTGAGTGGTTGTAATAAGTGTGCTTTCCTTTCCTTGAACCCTCTTGAGAGGTCCTATTATTCCACTGACCCTTTCTTGAACCAAACACAAAGCATCTTGGCATGCATTGTTTTCCATCAAATGCAGTCATTATTTCTATGCCCAGTTCCAGACATAGCAATTGAACTTGTGCCCATGTCAGCACCTCAGGGTGTCAAAAAAAGGTGTGGTCAGGTGCAAAGGCATAGCGTGATCTCTTAAAGAAGTGTGCAGAAGAAACTGGTCCTACGTGTTTTGTCCATGGTGCAGTACTTTTTAGATAATAAGCATGTTTCTCTGCTTGTTATCATATATGGAGAAGCACAGCAATGTTTCCACCCAGAAAGAAATATCAAGCTTTTCAAGCATGCTGTGTTTTGGATGAATAGATAATTCACAGGTGTGCTTTGTGTATGAATGGAAATGTCTCTGTTCATTTGGACCTGATTGTTTCCATTGCACAGGATTGTTTTGGTGGGTGTAACACTCATCCATGCATCAACAGAACTCATGCTATGGATGATGTGTTTTTTCAGCATTAATATGGGCACCACAGAAGACGCAAAGTAAAGAGAGTTAAATTCAAGTTAAGGGAATCAGAATGAAACAAAACAGCGATTTGATTCACTCAGTATATGTTTATGTGCACAGTTAAGTTGAGTTACGGTCAAGGCTCAACTAGACCAGTGGTTTTCAAGTCCAGTCATCGAGGCCCACTGTCCTGCATGTTTTGGATGTTTCCCTGCTCCAACACACCTGATTCAAATGATCAGCTCGTTATCAAGCTCTGCAATGGCTTAGTAACAAGCTAATCATTTGAATCAGGTGTGTTGGAGCAGGGAAACATCCAAAACATGCAGGGCACTGGACTGGACTTGAGAACAACTGAACTAGACGATTAAACTGAACTTCTGTCCCAGTTTACAATCACCAGGCAGGAATAAAATGATCCTCTTATTCCTATTTTTCAGCTTGTTAATACTTTTACTTCATGTACTGAACAACTGACAAACACGTTGGCAAGTGGCAAACAAGATGTACTGCACATCAAATGGTAAAAACACCATCAGTTTTACAGCTCTTTATATTCTTAATATGCCAGCTTCACCTTCTTTAACATCTTTTGTTTGTCTGTCAAGGTTTTGTTTAATGCCCAGCTTCTAAGCAAATAACTTACGTTACTCAACTTTTAGGCTAAAGCTAACTGTGGAGCATGTGCAGAACACTTAAACCAGTTTGAACCCAGTTGAGCCTTAAACATAGAAGAGAAAATCGATCCTTGGCCGCATTATGTAGGTATGTTAGTTCAATTATGATAATTTTGATTTAGTCAAGTTTAAATCAGACGACTGCCATAACTTGATTTTCTTCAACAGCATGTAAATATTCTTAATTTAAAAAAGGAAACCTGTAAAAAATGTGAATGGTGGAGTTTTAAGGCAAAAATCACAGTCCGACACTTTATGAAAGACTGAGCTGACATACAAACCAAGGTGCTGCTGACTTTAGCTCATCAGCAGTCTTAAATCTTTAAGGACCACCCTTCTTGCATAAACTCCGGGGCTTATTTCCTGTACTTGATATTTTTGGAGCAAGGAAATAAGGTTTGACTAGAAACCATCCACAGCATTGGCTTGACTTTAACTTTTTTAACTGCACAAAGTCATTTCAGCTAAAGAGCTGACACAATGGAAGAAAAAATGAGAAAGCTTCAGACCTAATGGCTGCCAATATTAATGGGGTGGCTAGCTGTGTATTTACTCCAACAGAATGTCCATGAACCTAGCTAGTATGGGTTGCACAAAGCCCTGAAAAGAACATTTGTAATGTGTTGATTTTGAATTGAATTTTTTTGAATTTGAGTTGAATTTTCCATAGGAGCATTAAACTGTCTTTCATCAACTTCAACTGTGTGAACAGCTGAAAAAACGTTTTGTTTTTTTGTTGTTGTTGTTTTTGTTGTTGTTCAAACTGCACACAGAGTTTGAAGATATTTTGTTCAGTTTTCAAAAAGGTAGTTCAACATGAATCTAAGAAAAGATGGAGTGCCAAGTGAAGCGTTGATAAAATACAGAATTTCATGGTTTTCTATTATTTTAAAACTTTTGATTTTTAGGGAAACAATGCAAAGAAAATGCATCAAATATTTAGAAATAAAAATGTAGTTTCATATTTCAGACAATATGCTTGTATTAAAATTTGATGCCAGCAACACATTCAAAGAAATTGGGAGAGGGACAATAAAACACTGAAAAAGTTTTTTTTCTGCTTAAAAAACCTCTGAGGAACATTTAAGGTGAACTGCAACAGGTCAGTAACATTATTGGGAATAAAAAGCCTATTTCAGAAAGGCTAAGTTTCTTAGCAGTAAAGATAGAAACAGGTTCACTGTCCTGTGAGAGACTGTGAAAGCAAATTTTCCAACATAATCCGAATCATTTTCCTCAGCATGAAAATGTGCAGGCTCAAGGGATTTCACCTGCTACAGTGTTTAATATCAAAAGAATAAGGGACAAGCTCTGAAAACCAGTATGGCATGGCCAGGACCAAAAACCTCTGTAGTGCAAATCACTGCTTAAGCTCAAACTCATTTTCAAACATCACTGAAAACATTTGTTACCCCACAAACACAAGTTCAAAATGTACCATGTAAAGTGGGAGATATAGACCTGATACAGAAATGCCAGAAACCTTTCCAGATCATTGGAAACGGACTGAGACAGAGTGGGAAACTGTCGTGTGGTCTAACAAATTTAAGTTTGAAATGATTTTGGGAAATCATGAACATTGTGTCCTCGACTCTTAAAAAGAGAGGGACCACCTAGCTTGTTAGAGGTGCACAGTTCAAAAAGCCAGCATCTGTGACAGTACAGGAATTAATAACTGCCTATGGGTAACTTACACATCTAGGAGGTCAGGGGGGTCAGGGGGTCAGTGGGGTTTGATCTCAGGTCTTAATGCCAAAAGGTCCTTGACCCCAAAGTGCCCCACTGGCTATGCCCAGTAGTGTGTGAATGGGTTGAGTTAATTCTGCTGGGCACTTTATGCATGCAGCCTCTACCATCAGTGTGTGGACATGTGGTGTGAATGTGATATGTACAGTAAAAGTGCTTTGAATGGTCAGAGGACTATAGAAAATTTTAAATAAACATGGTCAATTTACCAAACATAATCCATTAGGCCAACTAGTCTGCCTGCAGTCCCAGACATCTCCCTTTCAAAACTCCATAAACTGCTCTCCTTAGTCCCCCAAACATTCAAATGATTTTAAATGAAAAGGTGATGCCGCACAGAGATAGACCTACCCCGTCCCAACTTTTTCTTAATGCATTGTTGGCATTGAATTGAAAATAAACGTATTTTTCATTAAATATAAAATAATTCAGTTAGAATATTTGGTATTGCAGAATTTTCAGTCACATGTCGGGTTTGGATGGTTGGAAATCATACAATTCTGTTTTCAATCAACATATTACACAGCCTCCTAACTTTTTGGATGTGGGTAAAAAAACGGTAAAACATTAAGATCATGATAGAAATGGGCAAATGATAACACCATGCTGGTTGCCACACATGATGAAATGTTAGAGAGGCAAAGCTGTCTGACGTGAACTGGCTCTCTGAGAGATAAGTTATACTGCCAGTGATGTGGATGAATCTTACATTTGAACTCGGTTACAGTGAGGTTAAATTCTGATATTGTGACAGTTGTAATCTCAATATGTCCCTAATGGAACTTCAGTCAACTTTGAGGGGCTTCTAGTGCAGCTAGGGCCGGGCATTTAAGGCTTTCAGGCCAAGGTTTCCTTTTCCATGCATTTGCTTTCTTGACAATCTGAGTACCACCTCAAATGGACTCGGTTTTTCAGACACTTGTCAAAGAGCTGATGGTTGGCTGCTCTCGCATGCAGATGTCTGACAGTAATTCAAGCCTACATGTTGTTGCATGGCAGCCACAGCATTAAGGTATTGGACTGTGATGATGCATTGTGCCTTTTTCTGGTTTTCCCTGTGTCGGTTGTGCCTGCAGAAAAGACGGTGAATGATACATCTCATATTGCAACAGAAAACCACATCACTCTTGTTACAAATATCCAGTCTGACATCTACTGACTCTGCAGTCTATATCTCTATATATTTTTGGACACCTTTACAAAAACAGTAAAGAAACATCATGCCACATTAGCTCTATAATATACACTTCTGAAACTCTATTAAGAGTGACGGATCGTTGCATCTGGTTCCACCAAGTCTGGTTCTGCTCAGATGTGGGGATAAAAGCAATGATTAAACTCAACGATATGACACTAATTGTTCCTATGCATCTTCTTTCTGCAATGGTTTAAATTAATGTTCACATTAATGCATTATAGCACTGAGTTAAATACACTAATGTGTTCTCTCTGTTTTTTCTGACAAAAAGCATTGGCTTTCTATGCAGAGTTGAGAATGACTGCCCTGGAGATGCATCAATGCACTCTAATTTGCGAGACTCATTAAGTTTCCTTCATTTATTTTATACAAAATGGCCTGTGTCAGCTCCTTTCATAGAATTTCGTTTGGCTGCAGGCAAATGGTGTTGTCAAATACAAATAAGAAAGAAATTCAGAGAGAAGACACTTGAGATAAATTAAATAGGAAGTGTCTGGGCTCTTTTAATTAAAACTTATCTAAAACGTCCCATGGGTGACTGAATCCATACAGCAGTTGTCAAAACCTCTGCTTCCCTCTTTAAGTGGTGGCGTTTGTTTTTAATCAGGCTTTAACATCACTTCTACAAAGAGGAGGGTCTTCAAACTGCATCTTCTTGGCACTTGGTAGCATGCTGTTGGGTAAGAACTTGTCTGTCGGTGCGTTTAGTTCGTCCATCTCGGTAGTGAAGTGGTCTGGACTTTCCCCATTGGATGTCTCTTTAATGACACTGTAGGTTAGCGCCACACTGTAAGACGCTGGTTTCTCCATACGTTTGGGGCCGCAGTGACACAGCTTCTTGAAAGCGGCACGGAACTTCTGGGACATGGCGTTGTAGATCACCGGGTTGATTGCGCTGTTTAAGTAGATACAGAGACGGCAGAAGAGGAGGAACCAGGTGTCCAGGTAGGCCTTGTCCAAGAAGGAGTTCACCACTACTAAGGTCCTGTAGGGCATCCAGAGTAAGGCGAAGAGGATCACCACCACAGCCAGCATCTTTGTCACCTAAAAAAAAGCCACAATTCATTAAAAAATGCAAACAAGTAATAAACTCACAGAAAACATATGCCTGTCATAAACACAGTCCATATGGTGTGAGCCACAGCACAAGACAAGTGAAGTAAAGGCGCTTTCTCCACACACCTTTTACCTGTCAAAGTAGAAAAAGCTTTGTGTTATAAATAACTGCAACACTGGATTTATCCTACCGAAGTGTTCAAGTAAATTCTGAGGCTGTGACAGCGAGTCGGAGTGAACAACACAAAGAACCTGAAATTGAAGCAGCTGAATGGGATTCAGCAATGTCAAATTGTCTTGTATGGAACAAGGCCTGGGCCTGAAGTTGTCACACTGAATATTTCATGAATCTCAAAGCAGTGTTGTCGTTTCTTTCATGAAAAGGGTTTCATTGGATTGAATCAGATAATGAGCCATTCGTCATGACAGGTTGGTATCAGGGACTTGTGTCACCGCTTAAGGGTTCTTCTGCTATAACATACTGCTCTTTATCTTGCCTTTTGCATGGATGCACAGGGGAACCAGGCTTTAACCTAACCTGTGAGCCTTTGCTGCACATCATACCCATAGACTGTATATACTATGAACAACTTAGCTCCGCCTTCCGTCATTATATTATCCGCCAAATTGCTCTCAGTATTTCTGGGATTTACTCCACTTCCTGGAACTACCACTTGCGCAGTAGCATTGTACGCAATGTTGCTGTGATAACGTTCGGCTCAAACAGTGTATCCCCCGGGTGAGCTACGCAATCTCCGTACACCCATAGGCTGTATCAAGTGTCAATCATAGAAAACATGAACCCCCTAATAACTTTTAAAAATGAGACTTGAGCACAAACCAGTAACTACATGTCAGCATCGCAACCAGGGGGGAGAAAATTTTATATTCCCTGTAATTCATTTCTAAAGTTTGTCCGCAGGTCCATAGGGATTACTGGAGGAGGCGGGATTTATGACCTATACTGCAGCCTATCACCAGAGGGTGCTGTTCTCGGGGTGGCACCACCCAGTGAGGAGGTAGACGGCGTCCATTCTATTTACAGTCTACGGTCTTACCCCACTCTCTTCCTCCAAGTTTCCTACCCTACCCACTATCCTCTGGTCAAAATAGAGGTAAAAAAAACCCTCAAATGAACTCAAAACATATATATTTTTTCTGCTTTCATTGAAAATTGTTCATTACACTCGAGTTCCACTTGGGTCAACAGTAATGGATTTCTCTGCACCCTTCTAAAAATGAGCAGGTGAACCTAAGTCAAACAATAGAGACAGAGAGTGAGCTGCAGGGGTGTGCAAAAAGGTGCAGAAAAAATGAGTCTCTCTGGGGCTCTTCAATGTGGGAAACCAAATGAAAACTCCTCCAGAAGATTCAAGACACTCAGAAGGTCAAACAACTAAAAGGCTTTTTTAGGGCAGCAGAGTCAGAGTAAAACATGTCACTTGTTTTTCCTTTGACTCTACAGCCCTTAAAAATAAAAACTTATGGTCATCTGTCCCTCTGAGTGCCTCAGATCTTCTGAAAGAGCTAACTTGACTGTTTTTTACTCACATTAAGCTGAACATTTCCACTGTTGACAAAGTAAGGCGAGGTGAACAGAACTTTTTGAATCAGCACTGCACCAGACTGAGTTTTTCTGCTTGGTCATCATAAAAGTCTGTGATATTTTCTTCTCCATTCATCAGTCAAACTTTAACTGCAGTTGAAAGATAAGTGTGTTAGTGTTTGTCAGCTGTATTTTTTCATAAGAGTCAGAGCAAAAGCAGCAAAGGTGTAATGCTCAGAAATAAAAGACTGTTGATGTAGAGTGTTGGCCAGAGAGCAAAAACCACTCTTTTAGAGGGGAAATCCATCATTAGTGCTAAGTGCACTATTCTCATTTGGGACTTAGCCAAACTAGACTAGATTCACAAAAATCTTAGCAAAAGGTGATGCCCTGTTCAGAACATCACCCTAACCAGGGATCACTGCGCTTCTGTCCACTGTGATCAATCACAGTTAACTTACCGTGACCGCACAAATCATTACAAGTGAGTGGAAGCTTGGGTCATTTACATACCAAGCTCAAGACAGTCACCAGACACCCAGAAGATAACTTCACTGACCAGCTCAGTTCAACATCAGGTCACTACAGCCAGAAGAGACAACACTTTGAAAATGGTAGCAAAAAAGCTGAGTTATGGTTCTGTATGATGAGATTAATGCAGTATGCCTCAGTGACAGCAGGTATGATGGTGCACTTTTAAAGAGCTGCAGGATAGATAGTGGGACTCTCAAAACAAAGCCTTTTCTGCTTTATGAAACTCGCCCTTCCCCAAGATTTTCTTCTACTGAAGAATGAGGAGACTGCAGGGACTGTAAGCTGACAGAACCAAAATGTGTTTTTGAGTTGTGCTTACTGCTGACAATGGGAATCCTGCTTGAAATGTGCAGGATCCAGTTAAGATAGTTCATTTTATTTTTTAACATCAATAACTTTGATTTTTTTTATTTTGCAGGTTACAAAGTTTGGTTTGGAAAAACTTATTTAACTTGTGCAAAAACAAATTTGGTATTGGTAATTTGGTAATTCTGGTACTCTTCCTCCTCCTGGTATTTTCTTCTCTCTGCATGTCATTTCCCACATTGCAGGTCTCACGTGAAGATCCAGCCTACATGGACAAATTCAAGACTACCATGAAAAGGTTGTCATCATGGCATCAAGATGACATCTAAAATGGATGGCTCAAGATTATGTCAGCACTCAACTCACATTTCAAGGACTTAGAGTTTCTGGCAAGAGTAAGTAGACAAGAGATTTAATTAGCCTAGGGGCCATCCTGCATGAAAAATCCTGCAGAGTCCAGTAAGGAGTAAAGCAAGAGGAAGAGGAGCTTCCTGGTGTTGGATTACAGCCTCTGCATCTATAAAAAGGAGCCTTGCGTCAGCATGGAAGACCATCCAGGACAGTGGTGGTCAAATCATGCATGAGGTTAATCTGTAGTCAGGCCTGTTACAAGCTCCTTCTCTGACACACTCCGTACTCTGAAATCAATAGCTGCGATGAACTCTGACACCCTACTGGCCAGTTCAAAAAGTGTGACGTTTTGTGAGGCTGATGAGACTGTGGTTGACAGATTTAACTGTTTTGGACCACAAACCCTTGCTTTGATCCCTTGATTAAAGGTCTTATATTTCTCCTTTTAGATTTCCTATATTGAAGGAAATTTGATCATATATTTGATCATCACCCTGAGACCTCTTGGATCCCCTCAGAATGTGAACAGCTGTTTGCTGTTTACCAGAATTAATTATGCTCACATTTCTTTTATAATGGCAAAATGAGCCAGCATGTTCACTCTTCACTGAAAAACGAGTGCATTCAAAGCACACGTTCAAGCATACTCTTCATAACTATCATGACGGAGAGAAATAAAAGTCTAATTTAGAGATTAAAAAAGAAATTTCAGGGATAAAGTCATACCTTTTATGAGAATAAAGTTGTAAAATGTTCAAAATTTACAAGAGTTTACTCCTATGTTTATGAAATTTTAAGCTTCTCCCATGTAAAGAGGTATCTGAGCAGCTTTGAAACTTCTCTTATTTTTTCACTATCCTGCTAACCACCAGAATGGTCGTTGAGTGTTTGATGATGTTAGCTACGGGGGGACCATACAAGTATATAAGCTTTCACTCATACAAGCTTTGGCCCTGTTTTAACATACAGACCCATTACCAGTCATCCATTGCCAAGACAGGTCTTTTGTTACCCTGTGTTGTAGAGTCTGCACTCCAGGGTTTGTTGGCTGAACAGTTAATCACTGTTTTCTTTAAAAACATGATTAGTCGTTAGTTAGTGGAGAGAAAAGTCGTTATAGTGTGGTACAGCTAATACTGTTTTCTTCATTATGCTTGAGATTGTTTCTTTGAGCGCCATCTTCTGGGTAAAATACTATAACGGAACAAAGACCTCTCTGCAGCTTACACTGATATATGTGAGGACAGAATGTAGCTTACTTCATTTGAAAAAGTTGTGGTTTCAAGGCGATCCCTCACGCATCAAAATCTTTTTCCAATTATTTGTTAGGAATTAATCTGCAAGCATGCTGTCATATGGATTTTTCCCTTGATACCTCAAGTTTCTAAGATCAGGCTGTTCCTTCATTGATGTGTTGTAATGCATTTCAATAACCTTCCTAATGTGGATCTCTTAAAACATTGCTCCTCCAGATAAGAGGCTGTTTGATTACATCTGTATGCGCAGCTTGACAAAACCTGGATTTGTTAATTTAATGGCTCAAGAATAATCCTGGTGTCTAGCTAGTGTATAATTAGATTTTATCCATATTTATGCGGTGTCGTCTCAGCTGCAGTCAGGTGAATGTAATTAGAGAGGAAAGGAGCACCACCAGTGTCAACGTTGACTGAAACACCTAATCCTGGATTCTCATTACCTCTTGACCTTTCGATAATTCAGTAAGCTATGTGGTAGACTGTGTAAATTGTCCTTTGGCTCTACAAAAAGTGCTTATTGCTGACCACAAGAAACAAGTGATTATGTGTTTATGGGCGTGTTCGTCTGCTAGACAGATGCAGAAAAAAAAAGCCAAAGGCCTATTTAACTCTGGGTTAACAGATTAGACTACCCAACAGACTAGAGCTCCCTCAGGGTACCACACCCCCTGTCATTCCACACAGGCTTCTCCCACTGATCTGATAACCAAACGTCTAGCTTTTGCTATCTACCTGTATGTCTGACACAGCGTGTCTGTGCCTTTTAGAGGGTTCTGATATGTTTTATCAAGTAGGGACTCTTCAGACTTGTGAGGAAAAATAAGTGGAAAGCAGATGATGTAAGAGAAAGATAAAAATGGATGTTCAATAGCTTCAGTTTCCTATGACGTGTGATGAACTGGAGAGCTATATAGCGAAAATGCACTTTTATCAAGTATTGATTTAATGCGCTAAAACACAGTGTTTATACTGGCTGCACACTGGCCACTTAAAAAAAATCAAACAGACTTAATGCATGTTGTTGCTCAGCTTTGTAAGATGGGCTTTTTAACCTTCTTTGATTGCAGCAGTCTAAGTATTGATCTGATACCATAATTTCTTGTCTCAGTGGATTTATTATAGCAGTCAATGTTATCTACTGTTTGAGCAGAAAAACTGATTCCAGGTTTATTTGCTGCTTGATAGTGAACAACGACACTTTTGTGCTTGCTAAGAATGGAGAGCAATATTAATCAGAGTTGGCAAAATGCTAGCTATCCACAGTCATTATACACTTGAGAATGCCATCAATAGAACCACACAACAGAATGCACAGACTCAGAGGGTGTATTCATATAGGATTCACAGTGTTTATAGCCAAGCAGCAGTCTTCTGTCTCTAGATATTTAACCATTGTGTGATCTTTTAACATTCACATCCAAGGAGGAGAGCAAAAATACACATGGGTACAGTTTTGTAAAAATGAAATAATAACTTTGTCTGAATAGCTCATTTCTTTTTTACACACACTATAGGAAGAAAGGTTTATGACTCAAAGTTATTAAGGTCAAGAGTTTGCATAATTAGGGGCTTGGCTGACTTGAAGACTGAAGGAGGTGAAAGGCAACTCAACTCCATATCTTTGCCACCTCTTAGGCCAACCAAATGTGAAGTGGTCTCAGCACCTCTACCAATATGTTAACCACCATGCTTCAGCTACAAAACTCCACTCCAGACACCAATGAGTGATGTAGCTGAGAGTATATCCATGTCTGATACAGAGTACACTTGAGTGTACTAAAATCAGAACAGAACTCAAGAACAAGTTTAGGCAACAGAATCGGTATGGTGGTCATACCAGTGTTCATCATATACTTGAATCAAAATGAAACTGAATGAGTGGTTTCCATGTCATATATATATTGAGAGGAAACATATCATTTTCAAAGGGAAAATCAGTGCTAAAAGGCCTGAACCACGTGACTTCAAGTGACCAGCAAGTGTAGTCATCAAGCCATAAAGAAAATAACCCCCTTTCTTAGTTGTTTTCTATTAATCTCATTAAACACTCCCAAAAAGTTGTTATTCCCAAGGTCTCTATGTGATCCTTTATTTGGCATGATGTTTATCTTTGTGTATTTGTTCCCCTTTATGGAAGGTACAGCCAAATGCCAATATGTCGATGACGCAATGAGGAACTATCCTCCTTTCAATGTATTATTGCTTCTGTTTCAAAACAGATTAAAAAAAAGTAAATCCATACAGGAATCAGTTTTGGCAACTCTTTGATGCACTGTTTTCAATTGTAAGTGGGTAAGGCAGCTTTGAGGCAATTTAATCCTTTAAAAACGAGGACAAACTCATTTAATTAATCTATTTTAAGTTAACGTACTGTATCTGACAACACTATACCCTATTTGGTTTTGATTTCTCTCCCACATGAAAAAAGGTCTACACTGCTGTGTGGGTGGTTACGCTCAGAGACTCCAGGTGGACCAAATACAACAGACTGTCAAATGCAATTTCTTTGAGTGGTATTAGCTGTACTCTTTTTGGCAACACTAACTCCTTTATCTAAAGATTTGATTAGATAGAACTGAACTGATCCTTTTGGGAAGGTTCGCTCACTGAAAAAAAGTGAGTGTATAAGTGAGAACAGAGAGTTAAACCTCTCTGGCTTCTGGTTGACCCTAAACATATAATTTATTTATCAGAAAATGACTTCATCAGACAAAGAGGATGTTGGCCTTGTTCTTAAAGATGTGAAGTACTTCCTTATTTAGTGTAACAAACAATGGATCCAACTTGTCTCCAGAATTTAAGAAGCCACCTTTGCTAAAGTGGTGTCTCTCTATGTCGGCATACCATTGTGCAGACCGCTGAATTCAGTGTGCATTTTCGACTTTTACCATTTATTTCTGTGTAGCTTTGTTTCTGAGAACAGTGTTAAGGAAGAACCAGCAGAGGTCGCAGCTGTTTGAACAACTATGACAAACCCAGGTAAATAAAGAAAGATAAATAAAACACAAAACATTACTTTATCAAGCTCAGAGCTCAGACAAAAAATACTTAACAATGATAGATTTTTGTAATTTTACACTTTTGCACTAAAGTATAATGCATTATAAACCAAACCTTTTAAAGGCATGATGCTTACCGATTATAACACTTAATTAACATCGCTATAAGCTCTTATAAATGCTTATAATCACTTGTAAAGCCTTCTAGATGTATTTATAAGGCTTAATAAATGTGCTTATGATGCATTATAAGAGGTGGGTTCGTATAAAGTGTAAATAAATTTTTTAATTTTGTCCTAAATGTTCAAGTTTTATCAGCTTTTCCATGTGAAATGTGATTAAGATGTTCCAACTTTAGACCAACTCATAAAACCTAAATATTGTTAAGATGCATTGATTAAAGCACCTTCATCCTTTCATTCCATTCTGTCCTTAATCCAGGTTTTATATAAAGTATCACAGTCAGCAGTCACCCCAGTAAAGGCAGCTGTTGCCATGCTCAAACTGCACACCTGATTTATCCATATTTTTTCTGCAATTTTTATTCAGCCAGCGAGAAGTAAAAGCATTCACATTCAATCACTCATAAATATAAAGTGTTTAATAAAGTAAAAGAAAAAGGAAATCAAGCATCAGCGGCAGGATGATGGATTTTGTAATTATAGTTTGAAAATGTAGGGGTCTGACACAATTTGTCAAATGTGACTGTTCTTAAATCACTCACTACTGGACCAGGTTTCCTCAACATTTCAAGTTTTCATGAATGACTGTGGACGTTTGAACACCTGATTTTGTCACCTGAGTCTGAGGAATCTGAATGACATCACTCAAACTTGTCTCTGATTGGAGGATGTTTATCAGACCTGTAGAACAGCTGGACCCGGTCTCCCCTACTCACACACGCATGTACAAACACAATGAGTACATAGTGATAGTGTGAATGAACAAACAGTCTCCCACCTGTCTGCGGGAAGCCGCCGTGGTGCTGCTGGAGGAGCTGGAGCTGAGCATTCTCCCTCCTTGAGTGGTCTCTTTCTTCCACTTCTTGGTGTTGTCTCTCGGGTCTGAGGGCAGTGGGTTCAGGATCAGGATCCGCGCAATCAGTCCGTACAGAACCGTGGCTAACATGAGGGGCAGCACGTAAAAAACTGCGAAATCTGTGAAGTAAATGGGCAGGTAGTGACTCCTAGAGACTTTGTAGGCGCAGTTGAGCAGAACCACGTTATCGTAAACTAACTTTGTCGTGTCTGAGAGAAAAAGCCACATGACACAGTAGACTGAAGTGAGCGCCCACACCAGCATGATGATCTTCTTCGCCCTGGATAAAGTGCACAGGAATTGCGCTTTGATGGGGTGGCAGATGGCGATGTAGCGCTCCACGGTGAAGGCGGTGATGGAGCACGAGGACGCGTTTATGCCCAGGTACTGGAAATAAGTGATGCCCAAGCACCCCACGTACCCGAACACCCACTGCCCGTACAGGGCTTCCGTGATGTTTGGCAGCCCAGCGGCTGTCAGCACCATCAGGTCAGCCGCGGCCAGACTCACCAGGTAACAGTTAGTGGGAGTCCGCATGTGTTTGGTGGTCATAACCACAAGTATGACCATCACGTTCCCCACGATCCCCACCCCACATATAAGGGACACCAGGAACACGCTGATTATTTTATACTCGACTGTGTAGTCAGTCCACACACCCAGGGTCTGATTGTCCTGCACCGACGTGTCATTCTCCACAGTCACGTTCTCCATGGTGAGGTTCTCCATGACAAGCTGTAGCCTATTTCTGTGAGCTTTGACAATTGTTACACCGGGCACCCACGGAGAAAATCACAAAAATGTTTTGCATTCAACAGCATGATTCTGGCGCAGAAGTCTACGACGCGTAAATCATCCAAAAACTTCATTCTAGCCAAGTAAAACGCAGTCAAACCACCTTTCTCCAGCACGAAATCCAACTTTTGATCTTGCAAATCCATCAAATGAACCCCCCCAAAAAAATCCATACAAACATGATTTTAAAAAGATTGAGCCTCAGTTACAGGAAGTTTTCAGACAGTAGAGAGAGGAGGTTCAGTAGCAGCTCTGCGCCCCGCTGCTGCTGTCTCTGCGCTCACACAGTCACAGTCCTGACTGGACTTGCAGCAGCTCCGCTCCTGTGATCCTTTCTCTCTCTCCCTCTCTTTCATTCACTCACTCACCCACTCACACACTGCTGACTGCGAGGTCACAGGCTCATGGTGGAAATACAAACTTTCCCCCTTTCCCTTCCCTTCTCTGTCACAGACTATTATGCAGATAAGAATCACTATCTGCACAGTGTCCTGGGTAGAAAAAGATTATTCTTTTCATGAACCTTTTTTGGGAGTAGCTCCAGGGGGTTGCTGTCAGAACACTTCATTCACCTTTTTAGCTATCATATGAATGCTTGGGTAACAAATAAAAAACATAATCTTAACACAGAATAGAAAAGGACCTCAGGGAATTATGTAACACTCATTTTAGTTTATTGTCAAATACATACAATAACTAATGACTAAAAATATAAAGAAATGTTAATGCAGCAGTTTTGTGAAAAACAATCAACAGGTGAGATGTAAAGTGTGCATATGCACATCAAATTTTACCTTATACTACTTTTATATTATAGCACATCATAAACCCCATTAGCTGATCATAGATATAAGAATATTGCATCCCCTGCAGCCATGTTGTTGTACTTGAGTCTAGGACTCTGCTCTCTTGACACATTATCTTTTACCTATGAGCTAAGTCTCTGTCTTTGACTGTTGTCCTCTCTAATCCGTTAACAGAGCAGTCTGTCCAGCATGGATCCATCTGTTGTTAAGCTAAAATAACCTGAGGCAACACCACAAAGCAGGGGTGTGTCAGACCTTTTTGATCGGGGTGGCCCAACCCAGGCACCACTGGGGTGCCATGAAGTATGTGAGCCCACACACTAGTAAGTAGCATTTATTATTACACTTGTGTTGTCACATCACTCATATAGTTAATTTTAATAAAATTCATGTCTTTTAAAAGGCAAAAAGCCTAACAAGATGAATTTTTGAGTACTTGAAATACCGAGAGCTTTTTGGCTTCAAATCTGTATACTGGCGGAAGGCGAATCAAGTTGTCCATAGCATATATACAGTCCATGATGCTGGCTGCACATTGCTTTAATTTAGAATTTTTGTGACAGATTAGCTTGGTACAGTCCACGTACAGTTTTATCTCCATTTTCAAGATCAAAATGCTGTCAAACTGTGCTGCCTTGCGAGATGTTAACTACGAATGCTGCATTGTCTGAGGCACAAGCCCGTGTCAGAGTTCAGCTGACATGGCCTCAGAGTTATCTTACTTGAGAAGAGAGACTGGGCTTTTCCTTTGAGCCAAGTGACTCTCTACTTCTATTGAGGGGCTTCAATGATCACATAAGTACTGATAAAGAAACCTGGACTGGAGGAATCAGGAGGCTCAGCCTGCAAATCCAAACCTAGGTGGTGTTCAGTTATTAGACCTCTGTGCAACTCATTGATTAGCTATAGCAGACATAGTGCTCAACCTTTGAAGGATTTTTAAGCCTGCCTGTTTCCAGAACATTGTATGCTGCAAAAAATCTGACTGAAGGAAGGCCTGAAAAACATTCTGTCAAACAGTAAGACAACAGAGGAGGGGTAACTTCATATAGGAGCTCATCAGAAGTGGGGCAACAGAGGGATGTGTTCTAGCTGTGGCATTACATTCTTCATCCTTACAGGAAATGTTTATTCCAGGGTGCAGGAAAAGAGGCTTTATCCTGTGGTCTAACCTCAGATTCAACAAGGAGAACAATGTTGTTTTGTCCTGCTGTTGGACAGCAGACTACCTATTTTCTCCCCCAGAGCTGGCGGGGGATTGTGGGAGTTTCTCCTCCAATCTATGTGTGTTTGCCTGAGTCTGCCTGAATTGTCCCTTGTCACCACTTCTGTTTGTGATTTTGACAGGACTCAAGGCTCAGACAGAAGTAGAGCTTTCAGTAAGCTCTTTGCAGATAAAGTTGCTCTGAGGCAGTATCTATGCAGCTGACTGCTTTTCAGACATTCCCTCATGACTCGTCAAAAAACACTCAGGTCCTGTCTCTGCATGTGGCACATGTGGCAGGGACACAGGCAGGTATTAGTGACAGAGATGAGGTCCTCCTTGAACCATATCTGTCATGTCCCATAAATACATGTACAGTCTCTGAACCTCTCAAACTTCATGATTTGACCCACTCTGGAGGATCTAAAATACATCTGAATAGATGCAAGTCAAATTTGACCCAGATCAGCCCCAGTGTACCAAAGTGTGTAGCACCTGTATAACAGCAGCTCCTCCTTTTATGCTGTGTCTGATCTTCGCAATTTCATGTTTGTCACTGATTTCAGCTTTGCTCTATTTCTTTTTTTTTCTTTGCTGCTGCTGCTCTACCGGTCTCAACTTTTCATGTTTGGAAATGATACAGCGGGGTGGGGGTTTTCTCTCCCTTGCAGGGTCATGGCAGTAAGCCCTCCAAATGGAGTCATATTGGCTTAATATAACAACTGCATGCAAGTAGCCTAGTTACTTCTTTTGACAAACATTGTCACATTTAGGGGGATAGTTTTCTGTGGCTAAAAGTCAAAAATGAGTGAAAACAGCATGTCCAACTCAAACCTACGCATACATATAGCACTTGGTGGAAAACGGTACATCAGACATACTCAGCAGACATTAAGATTTTACAGTCTTTTAAACATTTTAGAGGAAATATTGCCAGGACGAGCTCAAAGGTCTCTGTTGCTCAGTAACAAAATACTACAGAAAGTTATGATTAGAAGAAAAGATACCCACAGAGCAGGATAGCATAATTTGAAACCTTTTATTGAGTCCTACGGGCACACTGTGACCCTTTTATAGCACCATTTTGTTGATGAAAGCTGATACAAATATCAAAGTTGGACAGGGCCACTTGAGTGTCTCTTCAATGCAATACTGTGTTGATGTGTCACTTCATGTAGTGGATCATAAATGCTCCCAGCATGACTTGGCACCGTGGGGATATGACAGCAGTCTATTTTCTCTGGACTTTTTCTTGCTCTGTGGGTCTTCGGTTTACAATTGAAGTGCTGTAGATTGTCACTATTCAAATTGGCTGACATGTATGTGTTCAGTGTAGCAGGGAAATTGTCTCAGTTTCATATTTTTTCGTAGATGTCTGTCTGGTTTCGGTTCACATTCCTGTATTCCTCTCTCTCCCTCTATAGTCTTCCACCTCTTGATGTGTTCTCACACCTCAGTGACAAGAAAATGAAATAATGATTCCTCTTCAGCAACTTTTTTTTTTTTAATGTACAAATCGAAGCTGGAGGTCCCGTGAGCTATCACAACTCCTACAGGTGACAATGCAGCAACCCATGTCCTAAGGGGTAACACACCTTAAACACCCCTTAGAAAGGCCAAGGGAGAAGTGTCAGGGCGGAGGACGTCTTCAACAAATTTCCACCTGCAGGATAGATTTTTACTGCAAACACATGGCAACACCGTTTCAGGTCCTGAAGCAAAAAAGACTAACAATCTTTCAGAGGTTCCAGGTAGTCATTCAACACCAGTCTAGTTTAGTGATGTTGGTGCTCCCGAGGAAGCTGCATGAGCTCAAGAGAACACAAGGAAAGCAGAGGTGGAAAATTACCCAGATCTCAGCCCAGCAGGCGATGTGGCTGTCTATGTTATTGTGAGTATGACCTTCCCAAGAGGCCAGTTTAGCACTAAGAGCTCAGCTGTCGGCAGGAAAACCACATCAGGATAACCACGTATCACTCTGTTGTAAACTCTCAGACAGAGGGCTGATAATTCACTTACTGTGTAGATGAAATTAGCATTACCTGACTGGCTGTGTTTTAGGAGTAGATTGTTGTGGTTTTCCAGTCCATGAAGTCCTGGGTTGACTCTCTGTGGTCATCCTTCCAAAGATAGAGTACAGTGTAGCTTACCATGTGCCATTCATTTATTGTCACCTCTGTATCGATCCCCTCTGAGTCTATTACTCCCTCACTGAGGGACTAAATGAAGTGTTGGGTTCAGGTGGGAGGCTATGACAGACCATCGCTCTGTACAGCTAGGAAGAGTCAAGAGATAAAATCCAGCTATTTGCAGGATGGTGAGAAATGTTGTATTTATCATAGCTTGTAAAATCCATCCATCAGAGGTGTTAGGCACAGCAGGCCTGCAAAGTTATTTAGAGTAAATATTGATTTTAATCTGAATGGTCATGCATGGTATAATTCATTATCAACGCAATGATTTTCCATGGAGAAGACACATGTTTTGCACTGAATCTTTGGAACAGGTGTACCACATGGCACATCAGTCAGCTGCTGTATGCATTATATGTTAGGGATGCTACTGTTCACAACTTAATGCATGCATTACACAAAGTTATTTCTACGCCACCAAAAAGAAAACTTTACCGCCAGTTGATCTGAGTACCACTGTCTGAATAAGTTATCAAACCTTTACTATCCTCATGGCATCATTTTTAAGGCACCATCAGCAACAGTGTTTAATGACTTTCTATTCAATTTGTCCTGCATTTTGGCAGACTGTTAGAAGCAGCTTCAAGATCTCTGACAGAGAGTGACTGGGGTCTGCAGGGATTTAAAACCCTCATTTTGTAAAGCTGAGAATGCTCAATCATTGGCTGGATAGCAGCTGGAGACAGGAATATTCTGATGAAAAACTTAGTTAAGGTCAAACACACCGTAACACAGAGTTAGACACACCCTCAAGAGATGAATGTTGCTGACTGCTTGCTTCTCCAGTTACACCAACTTAAGTAATGACCGCACAATAGCAATTCACAGCAGTCTAACCTCAACCAAAAAGCCACTCTATAGCCACAAATAATGCTCAAAACAGCACCTAACTTCATCAACAGAACATATAGGGTCTCAGCTACAGTACTAGCCATCAAACATCTTTTTAACTTTGCCTGGTTTCTTTCACAAAAAGACTAAACACAACTCACCCACTCTCCTCCAGCTTGTTTGTGGGGGAGCCCTGATGAGTCAATCACTTAGCGCATCAGAGTTTCGCAGCTCAAGGAAGAAAATTTATGATTATTACCTCATGGAAA